ATATATATATGAGTGTGTGTGTGTATGGCATATCTGCTGTTTTTGTCCTAATTTTAATGATTTATTTCTTAAATATATTGATTTCTATCTGCAGGTTTTACAACTATGGAAGAAGACCTCACAATATCTCAGGATTCCGCCAAAAACCGCAACATATCAGTAACAGAGGATGAAAAAGAAAAGGTAAAAGACTTTGTGTATAAGCATTTCAGAGAAGTGACAGATGGGTCGCTCTTCAGTAATGGAGAAGAACCTTCCATTAAGGAACATGGGAGTTCCACCAAGAAAGAGAAACTCTCTCTCAATAAAGCCCATTGTAAAATTCAGCAGGGGGCTGTTTTCTCTGGAAAGATTCTGAGCTTTGAATGCTCAGTGTGTAAAGATGATTCCACATATAGCCCCAATGATCTCCTTAAACATTTTCGGGCGGCTCACAAAGGAACCCTTCCTACATACCCTTGTGACCTGTGTGGTTTTGTTACAAATGAGTTTCCTGCTCTTCAACGCCATCGGATTGAGCACAGGAATACTTTGGTTACATGTGAGCTCTGCAACGATGATGTTCAGTACTCTCTGCTTTTGCTTACCAGACATTACATCATGTGTCACAGTCTAAATGGACAGTTTAACTGTGATTGGTGTGAGTTTACAACTGTGGATGCAGGTACGTTCGTCCAGCACATCCATCATCATAATGAGAGTCCTTGGAAGTGTTCGAAATGTAGACATATAAGCTCGAATGAAGAGGATCACCAGAGGCATGTGAAAGCTCATTCGGGTACATTCCCCTTCTCTTGTCAGATGTGTGGATATGGTGCAGCAAGAAGCGAGTACCTTAAAAAACACATGGCAGCTGTTCACAAAGAGGAAGCAGAGCGAAGGAATGTATGGAAAGCTATAGAAGACGGAGCTACTTCAGCAAATTCATCTGCAAGCTTGAAACTTTTGCTAAAAAAGAGCGGTGAATCACAGGAGGCTCAGAGGATAACAAAACTGAACTGCCTTTCTGGGAGTTTACCAAACCAAAATGGCAGGCTAATCAAACCAGAGATACCCTTAGAGGAGACCCACCACTTTGTAGATGGGACTATAGCTAATAAGGACAACAAAAACTGGAGCAAAGGCTCTCATAACACAGAGCAGTCAATGCCAGTAATGTTACAGGAATGTGACAACTCGACAAGTTCTGATGCTGCAAGTCACTCGAATCCTAATGGACTGACTGTTCTGATGGTTAAGAACAAAATCTCTCTTCCACCCAACTGTACAACCAAAGTGATGGGATTCAAGATGGTTGATGGCAAAAAACATTTAGTTCTCAAAGTAATACCAACAGCAAAGCAGGACTCATCCACTCAGAACCATTCGTCAGTTGAAGATGTGGGCTCCTCAGCACCACATCCTGTGTTGGATAACAGTAAAATTACTATTGAGAATGGGGAATGCTCTGATAACAAGAGCTCAACATCACATTGCTTTGCTGTTTCACCAAGAGCTGGATCTTGCATACAGATAGATCAAGGTGATATTATGGCAGTAAAAGTAAAGATTGAGGAAGAAGAAACCTCTGTCTGCAACCTTGATTCCAGCCCACATAGAGATGATGTTGGGGAACAATCCAATCCTTTACTGAATAGGTCTTTGACGTGTGCAGATACGTTATATCCTGTGACAAATGAGTTTCATCATCGAGGCGACCAAAGTCGCCCGATTCAAACAACCTGCTCAGAGAGAAGTAAGTTTGATAGTAACTCTGCAACATTTAATTCTGATGCAACCAGCCATAGCGGTTCTAAAAGTAATACTTTGACAGGTTTATCTTCACCTTCAAAAGTTGCTCAGGAAACTATGCTTTGCAAACAAGTCTCCAAAAAAACTGTTGAAAACTGTGGGGCTGTAGATGAGTTATCAGTGACTGATACAGTGGCAGATAAACTCATTGATGAACACAAATGGATTTCTTCCTTTAACACAATAGAAAAAAATGACCAGTCCTCTCTGAGTACACCAGAAAAGGAGAACCCTATTAGGGTTAGAACTGAGATTAAACATATTAATGGCCAACAAAATTTTAAAAAGCTTTTGACATATCCACCTCCATCAGAGTCATCCCCACCCACTTCACGTAGCCGCAGAGAGAGTGCCACAGGCTCAGAAAACTGCACACAAAATTCACCAAACCAGGAAGTATTTACTTTTCACAATTACTCCAAGGAAACATTCAGCACTTCACCCAACACTACCCAAAACTTTGACAATATGTACGAACATTCAGCGGACAGAGACAGTATTTGCGAATCATCACAGTTTAGCTTGACATTGGCAGAGTCTCCCGATACATTCACAGAAAGTGGCAGTGGTGAAGAGTCAGCTCAAGAAAAGAATGGGGAGGACATGAACAAAGTGACAGATAACAATATTGAGGTTAATGAGTGCATAGTTGGCGATCCCCTCACTGAGGATGAAAATCCAGAGTCAGTGCTCCAAGACTTTAATATTATCAAAATTGAGGAGGAGAGCATTCCTATATCCAAAAAACAGTCTGAAACAAAGAGTAGTTCAACTTCCTTGGGTAGTTTTGTGGAAGAACACTCGGATGCAATCATTACCCAACAACTTAATAAGGAAAAAGTAGGGTCTTCAAGTGGAAGCAATGATTCTTTGAAACAAACAAAAACGACTCTACGAATTCTTCAATTGCCAGAGGGTAAGCAGCCAGTACTCCTAAGGACGACTGAGAATCGATTTGCCATGCCAGTGCAAGTCAAGACCACTCCAGGTTTCAAACTGATAACCAATTCTGCAAACCCTCAGATCAATGTATCTTACATGAAGCCAGGGTTAGAAAAATCGAGTAACCCTGCTGGAGTAACTCTTTCTCCAAACAGCAGGAGGATAGGTGTATCAGCACCAAAGGCAGGAGCAGCTGAAAAAGGGGCAACACTTCTCTCTGCGGTTCAACCAGGTGTTGGCACCACCTCAAATCACTACTTCATCAACAGTCCAGGTTTTAAGGGTCCTGTACTCCTGTCAAGCACACCACATAATACACCTACAGACAAAACAGCAAAGACACAGCAAACTTGCTACTTAGTACAGAGGTCTGTTCCATTTGTTCAGAACCCGAGTACTCCTGGCCTCAGACCGGCGAGTTCACAACTCCCACTGAATTCACGGCCAGTTCTGGCCATGCCTGTAAGCTCAGCAGATAAATCCAGCACTCTGCAGACCGGTCGGCAGGCATTCTTGCTCCGTTACATTTCTCCATCCAAATCCGGCCTACTATTGAACAACCAAGACGCAAAGACTGGGGCTCAGAGTAGCCAAACCAGTGAAAGTACTGGAAACAAAGTTATATTTAAAATTGTCACTCCTAGCGGTAGCCTTCTTACAAGTGGCGCTCCCACCTCAAGCAGTCAACCTTTGTTTTTGGCCACCAGACCTCAGACCCAGTGTTTTCTGGTGTCATCAAACAAAACTAATACAAATGCCTCCAATGGAGTAAAGAAATTGATTACCATACATAATACTACACAGAAAGATGTCAAGAAATCTTGCATTTCACCTTCTCAGATGAATGTAAAGGTACCAGGTGAAGCAGAGAAACCTATCCTAGCCCCAAGGCCAATTCGGCCTCCAAGCCAAAGGAAAAGGCGCAGGAAAGCATTATTTGACGAGCTTCCAGCAACGGTGCATAAAGCTAGAAGGCTCTCAAATAAAGTTCTGACTGAGAAAGAGACTACTGTGTTATGGAAGCCTGTAGCCAAAGAAGTTGAAAGGACACTGAGACTTGCTCCATTCAGTTCCCTACAGCAGGTCAAATGCCCTCGTAGATACCAACCTGTTGTGGTGCTGAATCATCCAGATGCTGACATTCCCGAAGTGGCTAATATTATGAAGGCTGTAAACAGGCATAAAGGTGCTGTTACTAAGGTCTCTCTGTCTCAGAAAACAGTTCAAGCACTCTCTGAGCTTGGTGCTCTAGGGGAGAATTCTTCGACCAAAGGTGTGTCGTCTCAAAGCGATGATCAAAGACCTCGGCCAGTTCGGAGTTCTGTCCGAGAGCGTTTCCTCCTGAAAATGAAGTTAAGGAAAAAAAGCAAAAAAAAGTACGAAGTAGTAGATACTTTATCAGGTTGTGGACAAGAGCCTGTGGTGTTTGACTGCTGGTTTTGTGGTCGGCTCTTCAACAGCCAAGAAGACTGGATTGGCCACGGCCAGCGACACCTCATGGAGGCAACTAGAGACTGGAATAAACTGTTCTGAGAGTTTTCCATTACCTTTTAAATGGATTGGTATTCTGTCCTTTTGAGGTGGAACAAATTGTTGAAGTTGTATATTTTTTAATAACCTTCCACGACACGTTTGTTAAATTTCTGTTCCTGTACATACATATTCTTAAGTGAATCATAGTTTATCTTTTCATAGGTGCATATTCTTGTAAATTATGTACTGCAAGTGTGATTTTCTATCATGCACGCACAGGTCAAATTGAACTGTGAAAATGGTACACTGTAATTAAGAGTTGTTGTAAGAGGACAAGCTTAAAGAAAGGGGACAATGTCAGCAAAGGCTGTATGCAGAGTTGGTTTAAATTACTCAGGTGATTTCATATTAATCTGGTTTGTCATTTTTGCTCATAAATTTCAAAAAAGCATAGTTCAAGGGACTTTTGTATCTTTTATTATCCTGCACATGAGGACAGGAAACTGTATTTGTATAGCTGAACTAAAGCTTGTAGACAAATTTTTTTGCGCTTGTGATGAAAAATGTTCTGGTCCAAATTATTCCTTTTTGTATGTTTAAATTGAACAGGATATCATTTTACACTATTCTATTGTCAAGATTAGTTTACAGTTTCCTCGTCAGGATTTTGTCAACCTGTAGCATGTATTTGTTATAACTAGTGCAAAGATTTTTCATGGTAATCTCTTAAATAGACAGGCGGTTTTCTAAAATACAAAAAAAGAAAAGAGAAATCCTGTACCTCTTATACAAGGATGTTGTCTTGGCACTTTGTCAGATCTTGAGAAATACAGATCAGCCTGTTTTACACCCTATGCAGTATCGATGCAACAATATTTTTCAGCTCAGGCTGTTTGTTGTGTCGTGAATCCACATTTCTAAATTTTTCTGCTAAATCTTAAAGGTCCCATTAATTTGATTTCAGATTGTAATTTTATGTTGGTTATTCATTCATTAAAAACATCAACATCAAGAGACTTAATATGAAAATGAGTCAGAATCTTGTCACCGGGCTTGACTGTAAGATTTGGCATCCACTTCCAAAACCTTTAGATGCCAGATTTGAAAAAATGGCTGCATTCTTTTGATCACTGATAATTGGAATTGTAAAGATTGGGTGAGTAATTATACCCTGTATTTCAATGATCAATCAATAGTTAAATTAGGGCTGCAACTAACAATTCTCACTATCAATAAATCTGCTGATTAACCCTTCAACTAATAATTAACTAATTAAGGGTCAGAAATGGATAAGGGTAAGTCACTATTTTCTAAAGACCATGGTGACGTCATCAAATTTCTTTGTTTTGTCTGACAGTCCAACACCAAAGATATTCAGTGTATTATCACATAATGCAAATCATCACCATTTAGAAGCTGGAATAAGGCAAAGTTTTTGCTTGAAAAATTACTTCAACAATTAATCAATTATCAAATATTGGCAGATTATTTTTCAGTTGATTGACTAATAGAATAATCAACCTTATTGTTTCAGCCCTAGGTTAAATTTATTACTGTAAATTCTCAAATAAAAGCAGGTATGAAAATATTGGCCAAGGCTCAAATAATGATATTATACATTTCCAATTGCTTTTACTTTGCCCTTTTGATGTCACCATCAATGAATAGCAAATAATTTAGCCACCTGGACCACTAGGGGCAGTGGGAAACCTTGTTTTTGCCCCTTGAATCTATGTTGCTGCTGGTGCTGATTAAAATAAGGATAAATGTAGTTGTTATGAGGGGACGGGAGGGGTTGGCTGGATCATAAATCCCAAATACACAATGCAACAGAGAAAAAAAATGTTCAACTGCACAGGAATAGATGACGGTGTGTATATAAAAAAATGTGACTAGATTTTAGAATAATAGAACAAAGTGCACCCAGGGACCCCCACATGAAACATTTTCATACCTTTTAAAAAATGGTTTGTGGTTCAGTAAAAGTTTTACTTCAAAATACTTTAAAAGTGATAAAATAGTGACTGTCACTTTGGTTTTTCATGCTCTGTAGACATTGTAAGTGTAGTAGGAGCCCTGAACGTAACCCATGTGTTTAGCATTAACTTTGACCTTTTATTGCATTAATGTACTGTAAATCTGCTCACTGAGTTCAGTATGCTCTACATTCATTTCTTTTGATGTTACATTTTACATATTTTTTTTATGGCAACAAGACATGGACTTCTTCATGGGTTTTAATGATTGTATTACAGGATAATCGAACCGTGGAATGAATGTTTTATTCCGTTCAATATGCAAAAGTGACAGAACAATGCAAGCCATGCTAATGTTTTTAGTTTGTTTCCTTTCGAAATGGTTCTAATCAGCCAGCCTCCAATTGCTGAAGTTCTGACCTCAGCAGGGTCCGCTTTTCACCAGCGTTTGCTAAGTTGACCACTCCAATCAGCAACAGGGCGTTTTATTCTACATTAGTTAATTCCCTGACATCATATCTTGTAAAACTATAAATGTAGCATGAGTAGTAGCTACATTCCACTGATTATTAGGATTTAAAAATTAAACCAAACATACATTTGACTTTCACTTGGTTCACCGGGTGTTTTCACAAACTTTTATTGAAGGAATCCCTTTTTGGAAATATGTTTGTACTGTTGAGAGTGAGATGAGAAGATTGATATCAATCTTATGTCTGTTTGTTGAGTACAGAGGTGGAGTCGGGAGGTGTTTGGCCTAGCTTAGCATAAAGACTGAAAGTAGAAGGAAATGGCTAGCCGGCTCTGTCCATAGTTTAAAAATACACATACCAGGCCTTCACATACCGTTTTTTTTTTTTTTCTCCTTGAGTGATTAACTCGCACTTGTCAAGCTTAGTTTTTTGTCATGTACTTTCACACAGAACGCAAATATTACACAGCGAGAAAGCCTGTTTTTTTTTGTTTGTTTTTTTAAAAATTAATTTTGAAATCTAGGTTAATTTGGGCTTTTGCAGCACGAAAAAAGCAACTACATTCTGCGGAAAAGATGTTGCATCGTAACTCATTGTGGACCCGTTGATTGTTTCTCATCACCCTGTATATGACAAAGGGGTGACAACAGTAAGTTGGGATGCTATGTGGGTGAGTAGTTTCCGTGTGATGTATTCACAGACGAGTATTTTGCCTTTTCATGTTGTTTATACGCCACGTCCCTTTTAAGCTCACTAATTAGGGGAGTTGGAACTATTTTGTTACAAACAACAGTTGCAGTATCCATCCGTCCAGTATTTCTATGCAGTGTCTTGGCTCCAGCGTGGGTTGCCAGATATGCTTAGTGTGCACAGGTTTTAGTAGAACACTCTCTACGGGCACAATGTCACCAAACCTGTCAACCTCCCTTAAATACAAGACTTCTGGAAGCTGCAGGACTGAAGTTTGTCAAGAAATAGTTCCAGCACCAAAACTCCCCCCAAAACCACAAATCAGCATTTGTTTGTTTTAGATAAAAAAGTGAGTTAATTGCTGAGCTTGGACCTTTGGACATACTTCTTTTAGCTATTTGAGCTGTCTACCCATGCTTCCAGTCTTTATGATAAGCTAGGCCAACCAATGTGACTCCAGCTCTGTATTTAATGCACATTAGATTGATATTGATCTTCTCATGTCATTCTCTGAAAGAAAGAGAACAAGCTTATTTTACAATCATGACTTTAACTCAGCCTACAAAATGTTTAACAGTGTATACAGTGTTTAAAGGATTTAAGTTAATCTCCTGTCCTACAATATTCATGTGATTTTAGTATTCCACTCTTCAAAGTGGTTCTGGACCCAGTTTCTTTAAATCAAGGGCTACAATTTAAAATACTGCTTACATATGCAGTACTTTTAAAATAACAGGATATAAATAAACTAAAGGTTTAACTAAGAGGGATATTAACTTTTTGATTGGTTTTTAATTGTTTAAACTGAACTCAGCTCATGTCTGCATTATATGTAAGTTTTGGAGTTTTAACACAATTGAGTACATATTTAATGCAATAATTTAACAATAACATGTTGTATTTATGAATTGTTCAGCCCACTTTCTCTTTGATTTTGTAACTCACCCCTATCATACAATTGATTACAGCCAAATGGATGCCAATTAACTCTTATTTCAGTTAGTTTCAGAGGTTTGTTTCTGACTGATCACAAGGTTTCATTTACATAATGGCCATGCACAGTGTGAAAACACCTTTTTGTTGTTTCCTCTTTCGTCACTGCTCTCAGGCCAAAGAACGATTTGGTTTTATCATAAAATTTTAAAAAGGAGTATTGCTGATGGGATTTCTAACTGTACAAACGAGTCCTGCACTGTGATAATTACAAACCACTCATTATATGGGGATACACTACTAGATGAGCTCATTTTGAATTTTGTATGAGCCTCAAATTAAAGTGAACAATCATTGAAATCCAGCTTCTACAGCTCAGCCCTGTCAGCTTTTAGGATGATTCTCTACCACACACTAGATTGTGTCATCATGTACAGTCAACTGTTCAAATTGTTACTGAATCTTTCCTCATGCTAAGTGCCTCAAATGTGCTTTGGCAGGTTGACAATGTGTACTGTATTCTTTTGTTCAACATAGTGGTGCACTCTCCTCTAATAAATGTATATACCTTATGGAAACAATGGTGTTTTTTGTTGTAATGATCACAAATAATGCCACACCTATTAGTGATTTATTCATATGTATATGCTTTATATAGCACACGATGATGCTGAAAAGATCCACAGGGGGGCAGCACAAGACAAAATGTTACACTGACAAATGTTACCCACCTGAAATTTATTCAGTTATTATTTTTCTTTAGGGGGGGGGGCTCAACATGTAATTCTCTTATTTACGTGATGACATTTTGACCCTCAAGCCTTCTTCAAAATACCGTGTCCCAAATCCATACAACATACATCATTGTGAACTGTCTGAGCAGCTACTGTACAAAAAATATGATGCAATGTGTGTGATGTCGGACATCAGTCAAACTGATCGTGGATCGCTGCTGTCAGTTAAGCTTCACAAAGGCACATCAGTGTTTGTCCAAAGACAAACATTTCCAGAGCTGTTTCACCACCACCCAAAATGTCTTCTTCTAATCATTTTAGTTGAGCTGTGAAAATAGTTCCTCAATTTCACACTCTTTTTAAGAAATCATTTTCCAGGAGTCTTTTTTTGACATTACAGAACAGCACTTACTTAGAAAGCGTCATATAATTTACCAGCTGTGATAGATGTACTTATGACACATTTAACCCCAGTTCTATTCCTCATTTTTTATTGATGTATGGTTTATAATTAGAGCTGCATTATATGGCAAAACAAAATCATATTGCAATTATTTTGACATATACTGATTGATATGATATGCATCACAAATAGTGGGAATGATCTATTTTGCATTACAATTTTCATTTTCATTAAAAAAAAAATCATGATGTGACATTTGTTGACGGAACCAACAAACATTTTATTCAATCTGGAGAACAAGATTTGTAGCCCAGGGTATCTTTGCAGAGCTAATATGCTGCTGGATAGCTGGATATTGCACATGGCCTTATGGAGAAGTGTCTCGGGTTCCTTACAGGTAGGTGGTCAGCTATGGGACACACCTTGTTAGCAATACATAGATTATTTCCGGTATTTTTGGTCATTTTAATCCATTTTCAAGTGTTTCTATGACTGGACTAATGTCTAAATTTCCAGGTTTTCCAGGACGCGTGGGAGCCCTGCATTGTGCATTGCACTGTGGGACAATGGTTTACATCAACATCACGTATTTATCCTGCATAATTTCTGCAGACTACTGTAAAAATTAAATTATTTTTTTAAAGATTAAAAAATGGCAACAGTTTCCACTAATTAATTAATTCGAAACATTTCTATTTTTAAATTTTAAATGAATTCAAATTGAATTAATGTATTTACTACATTTAGGTACGTGTTAATTAAAGTGCTAATGCAACTGAATCACTTCAGCTTACGTATATTGAGTAAATCCACAATTTAAAAAAAAAAAAATTCTATATTCTTTATTTTGAAGTTTATTTTATCATTATATTTACATATATAATTCAATTTAAAGGAATGGATAGCAGAAAAAAACATTTTCAATTTACTAAAAGATGGCAATAGTATGCATTACTTTTTACTTAAATTAACTTGATTTTGTTCTAAAAATGTATAGTATGAAATTGGGACACAACCAAGTTAATTGTAAATGCAGTGTTTGAATCATAGACCATCTGGCAACTCAGTGTATGGAATTGGTCTTTATATAGTAGACTGAAAACATTATCAATGATTGATTAAAAAGACATGTCAGAACTGAGACAACATGCAGAATATAATATAACTGGAGATAGAAAGAGAGGTTGGGCTTTGCAAACAACCATTTCAACTGTGGCATTGTGTAACATTAGACTATTTACTTGAAATATTGTCCTGATATGTTGTGTAATATTAATAATAATATTGAGTAAACAGTGGTGGAGTGTAACTACTTGTACTTCAGTTGAGTATTTCCTGTGTTCATCTTTTAACAGCATATTTTCTAACTTTATCTTAACTAACCTTAAAATCTCCTTTTTGCCAAAGTCTATTGTTATTCCTATTTTAATTACTATGTACACATCTGCATAATATAGATAACACAATGTTCTGTATATACACAACATATAAACTACAATGTATTCAAATATCACATATACAGTAAAAAAAACTGCACTTGACTAGAAATTGCCCATGAAGGCTAGAACATCAATAAATCACTAAATCACTAAACTATCCATCAGTTGACCTATCGTTCAATCAACTAATGATTAGTTGATTGATACTAAAATGTTTCAGTGTAATCAATTTCAAGTTAATGTTTAATAACAGTAATGAGAGTAATAACAGAAGCACAGAATACTAGCAGCAGTGATGTGTATGGAATCTGGCTTTTGTGTGGGTGTGGTGTAAATGCTCTCACTGGAGATTATCCTGCATACACTGGCTTTGATATGTTAACTAATATAATATCTAATAATATCATTCTATATGGTTCTGCTATACATTGCTTCTGAAATTAATAAGTGGATTAAAATAAACAAACATCAAATCATAAATGAAATCAATGTAAATTAATATTATTTTGACATCAGTTAAATATGTTGTTGTATTCTAAATATCTGAGTAAAGGATAAGTGTAAATATAATGTGTATTAATAGGAAAAGGATTTTTTGTATAAAGAAATTTCAGAAAACATGTCCAGAGGGAAGGCAGTGCAGCAGAAAGATCAGACATTTGTGCAGTAAATTTGTAATAATTAGGTATAAATATAGTGATGTGAAACTAAATGAAAAGAGCTTAAATCTCTAACTATGTGTATACAGCGTGTCATGTAGGTAGACGCAGGCAAAAGGCCAACACAGCAGGAAGACAGCCAGGTCTGCAGGCTTCTGTAGGGCTTCAAAATAGGTCATGTTCACATCAGGGGTGTCTGCATAATTTTTCTGACTTCTCTGCTGCTGAAGTGGTTCAGGCCAGTGGCCCGTGGCTGTGGAGGAGAGCACTGTGTGGGGGGGATGGGATGGATGGATAGATAGAGGAGACCTCTACATGAAGCCTTATTATCCTTAGAGAGACAAACACAGGACAACTGATTTATTTATCAGTCACATTGATGGAATTAGTGTGATATATGAAACACTAAGTGTGTAAATGTTTAGTCACAACGTGTCACTGGGTGAATGTTACTGTGACTGAGTCAATATGAAAACAGCTCGGGTTGTCGTGCAGAACGTTATGTCTGGTTTCGGACTGTTTTTTTCTTGTGTCTCAGACTTTTTCTCAGATTTTCACTCGGACTGAAGTACCTTCCTCCTTCAAAACAAAACCATTGATGATGCACACTTGTTCCCTATTGGTTTAATTCAGAATCCATCTAGAACGGGCATTGACATTGGCTGCCTGGTAACCACGGTTTCCAGGCAATCAATATCACTTTCAATCTTATGCCTAGCTACCAAAACTCATCTCATTGGCAATGGCAAAAGCCTACCTATTGTCTATCTTGGTCCTAACTCTGTCTCTCTTATTTGAACCTGGT